CTTTAAGAACAAATGCTCTGATACCCAATTGTAGAAGGTAATGGAGGCAAGATAGAAAGATGAGTAAAAATGAGAGAATCTAAGAGATGAAATTCTCTCTCTCGATAGATAATTCATTTATTAGAAAATCTTTAACTTATATAGGAGTTCAAGATACATAGTAATAAATGCAAATACAGTCACTCAAAATAAAATGTATCTAATAAAAGATAAATATGACTTGATACATAGTTAAAGTCTTTTGTGTTTTCCAAAATTCATAACTTCCAAGATAAATCTCGTATAATCCAACAGAAACCATGTTTGATACTTCGATCATCAAGCCTGGATCTCTCTTGTTGTGGATTATGGAAACATGCAATACTTCCAAAAACTCATAAATGATTGACAATGAGTTTTACTCTACTTGAGGAGTCTTTTCTTTCACACTTACTAGAAATATATTAGATAAATATACTGTATAAGAAATAGCTTCGGCCCAAAACTCCTTAGGCATATTCTTGGCTTTTAAAATACATCTAGCTATGTTCAGAATAGTTCTAGTTTTTCTCTCCACAACACTATTTTGTTATGGCGTCCTTTGACTTGTTAAAGAACGATGACTTCCATTAGATTCACAAAAATCATGAAATTCTTTGGATGTGAATTCGCCTCCTCTATTAGTCCTTACAGATTTAATTTCATAGCCACAATCTTTTTCTACAAGAGCTTTAGAATTTTTAAAAGCAACAAATGCATCTGATTTTTGCTTTAGAAAAATACACCCAAGTCTTCAAACTAAAATCATCAATAAGCCGTAGGAATTATCTATTTTTAATCAAATAAAGGATTATTATTTGCTCTTATAATGGCTTGTTTTGAAAAAATATTTCTTGAATAATGTTTTCCAAGTAGACATGCTTTACAAAATTTACTGGGATGGTTGATCACAAGTATCACCTTCACCATCTTTTTCTTCTCTTAAAGCTTTCAGTGCGCCAAAGTTCAAATGGTCAAATCTCATATACCGAAAGTTGTGCTTCATCTTTCACATTAGCCTTTAAGCATTTTGCTTCAATGGTTTTCAGATTTAATATAAACGCTCTATTTGTTTGGCCTATGAACTTGGGTAATCAATTTAGCACTTTGATCTCTAAGCCAAAGACAACAATCTTTCATGTGAATCTCACAACTCCTTTCAAGAAGTTGAACCAAACTCAAAATATTACTTTTCAACTTTGGCACATAATAAACGTTGTAATAAGAACAAGCCCACCATTCTTTGAAAAAATTAAAAACTACTTTTTCCTTGAATTTGAATTGTTAAAAAGTCTCCAAATGAAACATTGCCATTGATCTTCTCATCCAGCTCCACAAATTTATTTTTGCATCCTCACATATGATTACTTGCTCCATTATCCAAGTACCACGAGCAACGGTCAACATAATCTCCATTTTTGAGTGTTGGCAAAAAGCTTGCTTCCTCCTAATCATGTTTATCATAAACAAGATTGGCTCTTCCTCCTTTCATTAAAAGTGCCACACGACATTCTCAAGCATAATGGCCATATTTATGACAATTATAACAATCAATATTTGACTTATCAACTTGTTTTTCATTCGATCTATAATAGTTTTCTCGTCCTCTTCCTCTTCCATGGCCTTTACTTGACTGTCGGATTTTATCTTCATGAGTTGCATTATCTTGACTGCTTTTTTCCTCTAGATACTTGACCATGATCGCAACTGCATCCTCTACCTCGTTCTCGTCCCTTTTGCCTTCCATCATCATTTAGAGAAACCTTTGTATTGAGAACTTGCTCGAAAAGCTCTTCTTGTCTTCTTTTCATTTTGTCTTCATGAGCTTATAACGACCTTTCTAACTCCTCAATTGTCATGTGGTCTAAATCTTTTGATTCTTCAATGGCACACACCACATGATCAAATTTTGGTGTCAAAGACTGAAGAATTTTCTCCATCACACAAACTTCTTCTACAGTCTCTCCATAGCTCTTTATTTCGCTTACTATGGAATTCACCCTTGAGCAAAAATCCTGAATGGATTCAAATTCCTCCATTCGCAATGCTTTAAATTCACCTTATAAAGTTTGGAGTCGCACCTTCCTCACTTTGTCAACTCCTTGGAGGAAGTTCTTCAAAATCTCCCGAGTTTGCTTAATTTGCATTGGTAGCATCGACCACCTTCATGAACATAGACTCTTCCAAACCTTAATAGATAAGAGCAAAGGCTTGGTTATCCTTTTTCCTTGTCATTGCGAAAGCATCCTTCTCATTTTGAGTCAATGATGCTTCATTTTGGGTAGAGTGTAACATTTATCAATAATATCCCACATATCTCGTGAGCCAAGCAAAGCTTTCATAAAATGACTTCAATTTTCATAATTTTCTTCAGTGAGACGAAGGAACTGAAATGAGAAAAGATTATTGCTAGTTATTTCTCTCTTCTTCTAAAGCTAAAGAACCAGGGCTCTAATACCTTTATTAGAATTATAAAGAAGAGGAAAGTAGGAAGAAAAGGAAACTTAAATTGTGGTATTGTACTGTAACATAAAACTTCAAATACATGGGTATATATAGGCAGTACAATGACTCTTGTGCTTATAAATACATGAACCATAACAAAAATGAACCATAAACCTATCTACTTACTCAATAATCCATGTAATTAGTTACAAAATGAACATTGAATCTAGACATTTACAAATTATTAATTCCAACATTTATTTACAGCTACTCGAAATAGTCTAGGAAATAAAGAGGGAACATCTCCTAACCAGAGATTAAATCAGACAATTGATATGCTTGCGGTTACGAAGAATCCATCTAAAACCAAGTCTCAAAAACTCAGCAGAAGGGGAATTAGATTCACCAAGTTGCATAACTAACTCCAAGCTGAGGTAACAAAAATTTTAGTGAGGCTCCATCATCATATTTTGATTTCAGTATTTCTTTTCCATAAAAAATATTTTTCGGATTTAAAATCTTTAGGGAGCTTGTAGTATTATTTCAATTATTGTCTTTTATTCGTTAAAAGCCAAATGGACCGGCATAGTATCGAGAGGATTCAACCTGAATTATTTCAATGCATGTAATCTCTTAAGGAAAAAAAAAAAAAAAAAAAAACCATAAAAAGATATGTGTTTTTCGGGCCATGTTAAAATCTTGTAGGGAGCTTGTTATAATTATCATTCAATCTATGTCTTTTTAGTTTCGTTAAAAGCCAAAGTGAGCCGGCATAGTACGAGAGGAATTCAACCTATTATTTCAATGCATTGGTAAATCTCTTAAGGCGAAAAGAAGATAGAAAAAAAAAAAAAGATAAATCAACAATCGTCAGAAAAGAATCCAAAGGAAAAGGACACACTATGAGGAATAAAGGTGGCATGCAACGCGGTTTTTATGCTATTCTGAACAGTTTAATTGCATAGACTTCTTAATTTGTGTATTATCAAGAAAAAGAGTATGGTCTGAAACGTGTAGAGGTTTGGAGCATTACGCGTTCTTCGTAAAAACGGAACAACCAAAAATTTGTTAAGCTTTGCACATGATTTTTTTGATCGACCTTGCAATCGAACTAGAGATAACCTGCATTGTTTTGTAAATGAGCATCAGGTGGAGAAAAAAAAAAAAAAAAAAAAAAAAAGATAAATCAAAATCTCAGAAAATCCAAAGGAAAAGGACACACTCATGAGAAGAAAGGTGGCATGCACGGCGGGTTTTATGCTATTCTAACAGTTAATTTGCAGACTTCTTAATTTGTATTATCAAAAAAAGTATGTCTGAAACGTGTAAGTTTGGACAACGCGTTCTCTAAAACGAACACCAAAATTTTTACTTTCACATTGATTTTTGATGACTTGCTAATCGAACTAAATAACCTGCATTTTTTGTAAGCATGCAGGTGGAGAATATTAGAACCTGAAATAATTAATAAACTAGACTAAAGAGAAAATAATAATAATCTAAGTTCCATTTTTCAAAAAAAAAAAAAAAAAGAAATTAATTCTTGAATGTGAACAACCAGCCCGAAATACCCTTGACAGACATAAATCTATAGTTTAGGATCATCTATTTTTCACACCCTTGAAAATAATGAAAAGAATTTTCATTAAAATATTTTTATCTTTCTCCCAGAGCAGATAAGATATTTGTTTAATGAGAAACATTAAATCCTATAGATTGACAATATTAATGGCAAATAGAAGAAAATCTCTTGAGAATCAAAAGCTTTCAATTCATTTTCATGGCCGCATTAATTAGTATGCACCAATATTACAAACAATGAAACAAGATATCCATTCTTCTGCCAATTACATCTTTTTCTGTTTCTCAGAATAGACATTCTCTATAGCTTTGCCAAACTTAATTTGTATAAGTATGAACAAAATAGCATTGTAAATTTATAAGCTATTCCTAATAGCATTAGATATATACTTTCAATATCTCCATCTCCAGCATTAAACATTGTAGTTTATAATGCACTAGCTTACCATAAGCTGAAATTGACAAAAGTAGTAAACACAATAGCACATTCATGTACACAAAATTAAACAAAAGGAAGAAGAAGAAGAAGAAGAAGAAGAATAAGAATACTCCAAACTAATCACAAAATGATAGAGAGCTAACTCCCAAACTTAGTCTTCAATACTCTTTAGGCCAAAATTTTTCAAGAACCAAAAAAACCCAAAAATCCCCTAATAAACATGCTTAAATACAGTAAATGAACTCATAAAATCATCATCCATGCAAGAAATGATTATCAAGAAAACACTTAAATTAACTAGAACTATCATTCCATGACCAGCCAGAATAAAAGAAACAAAAACCTCTCTGCTATTACTAACCTAATTAGGCTATATTCCTAGTTCTCCCTCCAAAACATAGGAAGTTCAACCTTTTACATGAACTTAATACTAGCCTAATTATTCTCTCTCTTATATCCTAAAAGATCCACAATTAGGGTTTGTACAATTCCTCACCTTACTGTAATAATAATTCTTCTAATTTCCAACCTTTATTTGCTTGGTGGTCTTGTAAATACTCTCGAGAGACCTATATCTTTTCTTTCTTGGCCTTCCAAGAATAATACTAATCTTTTCCTCTTCTTCTTTGCCAAAAATCTCTTCAATCTTCTTCGAAGTAATCTCGTCTTGGCTAATAAACCGATCAAACTCCTCCTCAATATCCCCATCAAAACCACTCTTCTTCATGTTTTTGCTTTTCTTTTCATTAATGCTGTTGCTATTGCTGTTATCCTCATCGCTTAGTTGCATTAGCTGTTGCGCAGCCACCATTTCCATGTCTGTGAAGAACTTCTGAGTTCTGTTCATAGCTTGCAACTCTTGCATGATTATCAAAAAAAAAAAAAGAAGCCAATTCTCTCCCCTCTTCTTGTTTTCCTGATCTCTCCTGGTTGTATTTGGTTTCTTGATTTTCTTGATCTCTCCTGGTTCTATTTGGTTTATTGATATTTGTGATCTCTCTTGGTTTTATTTGGTTTCTTGAATTTCTTGGTTTTGGTTTCTTGATCTCGAGTCAGAGCGCGTTTTAGAGGGTGTTTGTGTATTGTATAGGAAAGAAACTGCAGAGTTGGTGCTGAGAAGAAGGCTGGAAGACGTCAATGGCTAATATATGAGGGCTTTTTGTTTTTATATAAATAATAAATAGGATAAAGAATGATCCACTGCTTCCACCATTTTTAATACATTACGCTCAGACATCTTACACCGTCGATTAACTTTGTCGACTTTCATCACAAATTAATCGAACGGCTTGATCTCTGTTGTAAATTACTTACCAAGTAGGTTTTGCTTACAGGGAAAGGTAACGCATAAGTCTGTTGAGTGTTGACACAATAAATATGATTTTATTAATATTTTTGTGGTCCCTACTTCAGAATTACTTTACTTTATAACCCAAAATCTTCTTGTATGGGTCCCACCCGATGAACCCAATTGTATTTCATAATTTTCTTTGAACTTGCCATCAGGGCCCACCAATTTTTCATGATGGTTTTTGAGCCGCTTGATTAGTCGCGCGATTATGATCTAGATCGGACGAGTCTAATTTGGCCAATCAGGACTTCCTTTCATTTTTTTTTTTTTTTTTTAAGGGAACGGGTCTATAAGAAATTGTCAAATTTGGGAATTAATTTTTAATGATGAAGTTATGTCTTGAGCTGGTGGCTTATTAGAATTAGAAGAAGGCCATCAAAATAAAATAAATAGAAAATAATAAGAAAAAAGAATGTTGACTTTGCTTTTCAAGAGGATTGAAATTCTTTTCTTCTCATCAAGTCTTTCTATGTTTGGGAATTGGGACTTTTTTAACATGATTTGACTGATTAACATTCTATTAGAATATTAAGGCATTATTAATATATATCGTGCATCCGTTTGCTTCATTGGGTTCAAAATTATAAAAAGGGTAAATTATTATTTATCCTTTTAAATTTAATTAATCTAATTAACTATGAAGGGTGGACATTTCTTCATGTGGTTAACCCTTTATCGAATTGCATTAATTAAATTTTTTTTGAATATTTATCATTTAGCGATTGAATTACATATTTAATTAAAAAATTTATTGATAGAATTTTACTTTTTATCGATAAATTTACAAATTTAACATATTTACTATGCTAGGAAAGTTGGCTTTTTTTTGGAAAAAAAAAAAAAAAAACTAAAAAAACATCATTTTGGTAACTCGAGAATTCCGAATTTTTTATATACCTTATAGAATTGTTTACCATTTATCATATTTTATTCAGACAAGTACCAAATACCTTGCTGTTTATAATTTATCATTTCACCGAACTGTTTGTATTGAACAACCGAATAAATCGATTTTTACCATATTATCACTATTAACTACTTAATTAGTCATTCTTATGCTAAAAACTCATTAGACTAATTAGCCTTTCCATGACAAATTGTTGTTTTAGTTGTTAAATGCCCTTTAAATGATGGAAAATATCTTTCAATTCCCCAATCATATGAACTTATGAAGCAATAGAATCAAAATTAAGCTTCCATTTGTCTCTTCAATCAAGCCACATCTCCTTTCGGAAGACGGTTGAGTCTACCTGCCTTCTGTTCCATTCTCAAGTCTCTGAAATTTTGAAGTCTAGTTTTCGTAGTGGACCAATTCGTTAAAATACTGCCAAGCCATTTTTTTATTAACATAATGACACTGAGCCCTTATTGCAGCCCGCGCTATTGAATTCGATGCTTTACTTTTTGTACCAACAATTAAGAATTATTTTCTCCTACTTCCTGAAAACAAAAGAGATCCAAGTGAATAGAAAGGAAAAAATAAAGAATAAATTATATTTTCACTTTAAAAAGACATACTATAAAAATATACCATTTTATGAAACTTTTTATCTGGATGTTAAAGATAAATGACAGGCTAGCCTTATTGCAGCTCGCCGCTAATTGAATCGATGCTTTACGTTTGTACCAACAATTAAGAATTATTTTCCTACTACTGTCCTGAAACAAAGAGATCCAATGTCGTGAATTAGAAAGGGAAAAAATAGAGAGATTATATAATAATTTCACTTTAAAAGAAGACATACTATATTAGAAATATGAAAACCATTTTACTGCAAGGAGCTTTTTATCTGGATGAAAGTCAAGAAAAATTCGAGACGGTTAGAAATATGATCAGATAAAAAAAAAAAATAAAGGTATCTTGTTCTTGTTTGTAAAAACCTCTGCACTAGCTCTTTTTGACTTTAAAACCATTTGAAAATCGTCCATTTTCGATATGTTTCAAAAAAATGTTTTTGCAATGAACAAAAATCACTGTTTTCGTAGAAAGAGATCCAAGTGAATAGAAAGGAAAAAATAAAGAATAAATTATATTTTCACTTTAAAAAGACATACTATAAAAATATACCATTTTATGAAACTTTTTATCTGGATGGAAATCAAGAAAATTCGAAGTTAGAAATATTGATAGATAAAAAAAATAAAGATCTTTTCTGGTTTGAAAAACCTCTTGCAACTATTCTTTTTGACTTTAAACATTGAAATCGTCCATTTCGATATTTTCAAAAAATTTTTTGCATAAAAATATATTTTCTAGATTTTCTGATATTTAAAATGCTCCTAAAAATCAGTTAATAAAATATATTTTCCTAATTAAAGAGAAAACAAAATCGTTTTAAAGAAAAATAAGTTTTCGTTTCTAAAGGAGTAAAACATTTTTTGAACACTGATAAACTTATTATAACATTATAAACACACATTTATATTAACTAGTCTTTTATATGACGTGCGTTGCACGTTGACCATACTCGTTGTATACTCATTTTTTTCTATATAATATTAAAGCATTATTTTTATTTAGATTAAAATAAATACGAGCGGTTAATTCTATATATTGCTCAAATACACTAGTCATGACCTGTTTTTTGTAAAATACATGATTATGTACTTAAGTTATAGTCCCGTCAGATACTTTAGTCCTTCCGTCCACTTTTTAAGTGTTTAGCCGTGAGTCAAAAAATTAAAATGTGATCAAAGCAGATATAAAAATTCTTTTATGACTCAAATACCCTCACTGGCCTCCCCTCTCTCTACCCTTCCCTCTATTTTCTCTTTCTTCATCTCCCTCAGCCTTCCCTTCTTCTTTAGTCTTTAAAACTCACTAATGTTAACATTAACCAAGCTTTAGCCTGAGCATATGGCAGTAACGATGGTTATTCAATATAGGGTATTGAGATTGGAGATTATATGAGAACATAATAGATTCATTAGGCAAATAGAATTCGATGTCGATGCGAACACGAAAAGAACTCGAAGGTAAAACCCCAATATACAACAAGAAAATAAAAAACAGGCCATAAACGAGGATCCAATCAAGAATAACCGACAACAAAAATTTTAGAAAAACCAAAAACACAGATAAAAACAAGACAGAAAAAATAATCAATCTAATAAAGACCACACAAAATCAGGAACGAAAAGAAAGAAAGAAAGAAAATGACATTCTCTCTTTCTCTTTATTAGAAAGAAAAATAGTAATTAAAAAGGAAGAAAATAATTGAAATTTGATTTTTTTTATATATGTTAATGATGTTTCTATGAATCAGTGAGAGAGAATTTTGTCAATGTAAAGCAAGGTGTAGAGTCCTTTCATGCTGAGTGGATTTTGATTTTGCGTTTGGATTTGGTTTCCATGTATTTCAATTGTGATTCTAATTTTATGGTGATCTTGGGCTAGGATTCTAGTAGGGGAGGGCGTTGGATTGGGAAAGAAGATGGCGATGGTGGCTATGGGTAGTAGATTTCATTAGGTTATTTTCGTCTTTCCTTAGCAATTTAATGGCAAAATCTATGAAAAATAACCGAAGGACTAAAGTATTTGACATGATCATAATTTAGGGACATGATAATATATTTTACAAAAAGCAAGTCGTAACTAATGTATTTGACCAATATATACGGACATAATAGTAATTTTTCTTTTAAATAATCGGTCTCAATTTTAATAACGTGATATTTAAAGATAGTCCCAATTTTTTTCCAATCCATTGCAATTATGTTACTCAAATAAGGCATGTGTCCAGCATGCAGATACTCTCCTATGTTTTATTTAAGTAAATCCATTATCATTTTGTCACTAATTGGCCCCAAAAAAAAATCTGCTATGAACATCTAAATTTTATACCTCAAATATACAAACCAGACTTAAAAAATCCGTCAAATTGGACCTGAACCAAGTGAACCTAGAATCAGAGGTAAATAGACTGATAATTCGTATTGATTTGGATATAACTCTTCACCCAAATTGAGTTTCTCTACAAACTCAATACCATTGGAAAATAGACTTCAAGAGCTTTCCAATGGTATCTCACAGGCCAAAATCAAAGGTCGAAAGGGCCTTGAACCACTTGAACTAAATTGAAAAGTGAATCAGAGCCAACTGGAGTCGTAAGAAACACTGATAGCTAACTAGTATTAGGTTGACCGTCAGCGTTAGCAGTCAACCAGCAGTTATCGCCTCAGCCAGGCGGTCAACCGCCCAAGGCTAGACGATCATACCTCCACAGGCCAGCGACCAGCTTCTAAATCCCACAACTTTTTTTATGAATTCTCCCCTAGGGGGTGAGCATTCAATTCGGTCAATTCGGTTAATTCAGCCAATTCGGTTCGGTGAATAAATGTTCGGTTAGAGAAAACTACAATTTCGATGATCGATTAAAAGTTAGTTTAAAAATTTTTATAACCGAATTAATCAAATTAATCAACTCTCAAAACTACGTCGTTTTGATTAAGTAGATAATAAAACTAAAAATTTAAAATATTTTAGTTTTATTCCGATAGTCGATTAATCATAA